CGTGCTCCCCTTGATCCCAGTCCGGATCTACCGTCTGTGTTCTTTGTGTCCCTAGAACTCATGAGCCTCGTGTCCGGGCTGCTGCAGCCAGTCCCTGAGAAGCGCACCACCTTGGAGAAGCTGGTGACAGACCCGTGGATAACACAGCCTGTGAACCTTGCTGAGTACACGTGGGAAGAGGTGTGTCAAGTAAACAAGCCAGGTGAGGCTTCTCAGGGCCCTCCGCCCCATGTGACTTTGCTCGGAATGACGCGGTCCCCAGGCTGCCTTCCTGAGTCAAAAGGAGGAAAAGGAGGCTCTCTCCCCCGTCCTGTCTTGGACACAAATGTCAGGGCCTAGAGCTGACCTGTCACCTGTGAGCGGGGGCTTGATTCTGCCCAGAGGCCTCTGGACCCCACTGGGGTTCAGGGTGTGTGGCTTTGGGCATTGGAGGGTGGCCAGGTACCCATGGGAGCTCCTGGCATAAGGGGTCAGGACCCTCAAAGATGGTTTGAGGCATGCAGCTGGTGACGGTCTGACTGGGCTGAAGGGGAGGGGGAGGCCACAGGTGCTGAGTGTGATACTGTAGCAGCCTGGCGGGGCTCGTGGCTCTTCAGACAAGGCTCTGGCCACAGAGCCAACACCGCTGCTCAGAGCATTTGGACCAAGCTGGCGATCATGGCACTGGGCTTAGATCCCCGCAGCACTGTGGCAGGAGCTGTACTCCCGGGACACTGCCAGTTGGATTTCTGAGCACCCCCGCCGCCACAGGCTTTTGTTCTAGGACTTCCAGTGAGAAGCAAAGTATCTTAGAAGCTTATGTTGTCAGCATGTGATGCAGTTACCTTCTTTCTTCAGAAAGCGGAGTTCTGTCCACTGCGAGTCTGGAGATGGGGAGCAGGAGCCTGAGTGAAGTGGCCCAGGCTCAGGCGCTTTGTGCGGGTCCCGCTCCCGGCGAGGCTCCTGATGGCCACGGCTGTTTGCATCCCAGGGATCCTCGTCTGCTGACCAGCTAAAGGCCAGCTTCTGCCTGCTTTTCTTCACTTGGCTCAGAAAATCATATGGTATTCAGGCCCCATCTGCTTGGAGAAAATACATTCTCAGGCGTTCCCCTCTCACCTGCTAAAAACTCACGTGCAGGTTTGATAAACGCCAGAACAGTAGACATGATGCTGTACTATTTTAGGTTTATTACATAGATTTGGAATTCACTTTCTTCATGACCTAGAAAAAACATTCCAGTGTTCAACTGTTTTGTATTATTAAAGGGCTTGTAGTTTGTGAACTTCTGAAGGCGTAAGAGTGTTTTCTCTTCCCACGTCTGCACACGTGCGTGTTTTGTTGCCTCTGACTTGGTGCGTGCCCGTCTGAGCGGTGGAGATGTGAAGTGTAGGACTGTTGATCAGATGACCACACTATTCCATTGATTTCCTTTCTCAAACACCTGTCACATTAAAGCACCTTTGTTAGCAAACACTTACTCCGAGTTGGAACTTGTGAACGGTTCCCGTGTGCTACGTGTGTGAAGTGCTTGGTTTCCTCGCTTTTCCATTTGTGCACCCCACTTGCCATAGCTGGAGAGAAGTCTAGCCTTGGTCATTTTGGGGTTCTTTTTACAAGCAGGCCCTGCCAGGGGTGGGCCTAGGGCTCTGAAGCTTCCTCCATCTGGTAAGACTGGGGAGGGTGTGACATCCTCAGGGACTTCCCTTCTGCCAGGCCCTATAGTAAGACTGCTGTCAACATGTGGCTGGCTCACTGCCAGCAGTCCCCAAACCACCCGTGGCTAGCCAGCTCCCACCTCTGTCCACGTGAGGGGCTTTCTGGCCCAGCCCACACCTTTGGTCCATGGGAGGGGCTCCAACGCTGTCTATTCCTCAGGGCTGCTCAGGTCCCAGGGTGTTTCTCAGTGGACTGCTTCCCCTTCCCTCTCAGGCTCCAGTCCGTTCCCCTCAGACAGACTTGGCTAGGTTAACTACTTACATTGTTCTACTTCATGTCTGTGTTAGAGAGGAGGGAAGAGCTAGAGGTGACAGCAGAACCTTTCATTTTTTTCCCTGCTGAGACAGTAGGAAAATAAATAAATAAACGGCTACCCTTTTCCGGCATCATCACTTGCAGAGACTCCTGCCCAGACCTTCCGGAAGCTGCTTGGGGGCCAGGCTGCCTCCAGGGTGGTTCTGAGCTGTTTCTAGTAGTATTTACGAGGTACTCAACTGTTTATTTTAGGATGATCAGAGCAGAGTTGATCTCAGTCCCATCTAGTAGGATATGGGATATTGCCATCCCTTTCTTCAGAAAGTGCTGCCGCAATCTTCCTGCCACAAGTGACTGATGGCGTTAGTAGGGAGTTGGGGGGGGGTGGAGAACCCTCCTCTATTAGGGACGATAAAGGTACAGGTTTTTAGGGATGTGTAATAAAGTCAGTGACACTTCAGAATTCAAATGAGTTTCCTGATGTTTTAAGAACTCAACATTTTCTTTGCAGTGTTTATGATGCTTATAACACAGAGGGTGTTATAGAATGGTGCGGGTTTTGTTTGTTTTTTGGAGACCGTCTTGCACTGTCACCCAGAGTGCACCTAGAGTGCAATGGTGTGATCTCAGCTCACTGCAACCTCCGCCTCCCAGGTTCAAGCGATTCCTCTGCCTCAGCCTCCTGAGTAGCTGGGATTACAGGTGCCTGCCACCACGCCTGGTTGATTTTTTTGTAATTTTAGCAGGGACAGGATTTCACTATGTTGGCCAGGCTGGTCTTGAACTCCTGACCTCAAGTGATAGCCCTGCCTCAGCCTCCCAAATTGTTGGGATTACAGGCATGAGCCACCACTCCTGGCCAGAATGGTGTTTTCAGACAGGTGTTTAATGGATTGAGAATGCTAGGTCCTAGCTTTCCAAGAACCGTTACTTTTTTATAAGATAATAATGAAAGCTCATCTGACCTGAGAGCAGTGGAAGGTCGGCTATTTTGCAAATGTTCCTTGCAGAAAGGACCCAGAGAGAAAAATTCTGACGCTGAGGCTGACAATTTTTCCACTCCATGTTTTTTTTTTTTCATATGGAGTCTCACTCTGTCACCAAGGCTGGAGTGCAATGGCATGATCTCAGCTCACTGCAACTTCCATGCCCTGGGTTCAGGCAATTCTGCCTCAAGCCTCCCTAGTAGCTGGGATTACAAGTGTGTGCTACCACGCCCGGCTAATTTTTGTATTTTAGTAGAGATGGGGATTCGCCAAGTTGGCAAGGCTGGTCTTGAACTCCTGAGCTCAGGTGATCCGCCTGCCCTGGCCTCCCAAAGTGCTAGGATTTATAGGCATGAGCCACCTTGCTCGGCCCACGCTGTGTTTTTAAAGTATGGCTTGAGAGAGCAAAGTTTTCACCAAAGACTGAAGGTGACGTCTATTTATTTATCATTATTTTTTGAGGTGTACTTTTGCTCGGTTGCCCATGCTGGAGTGCAATGGCGTGATCTTGGCTCGCTGTAACCTCTGCCTCCCAGGTTCAAGCAATTATCCTGCTCCAGCCTTCTGAGTAGCTGGGACTACAGGCACAGCGCCACCATCCCCAGCTAAGTTTTGTATTTTTAGTAGAGACAGGAAGGACTTCATCATGTTGGCCAGGCTGGTCTCAAACCCCTGACCTCAAGTGATCTGCCAGCTTCAGCCTCCCAAAGTGCTGGGATTACAGTTGTGGGCCACCGCGCCCAGCTTCGTGTCAGTTTTTCATAGTAAATAGAAAATTTAGTAATCTATTTAGTAATCCTTGTGTCCCAGCTGCCATCTTATTTCTAGAGCTAGATAACCTGTCAGGTTCCTCGATTCTTTCCAGGGAGTTGGGCTGGCTCATGGGCATTTCTTAGGCTTTTGGTGTAGCAGAAAAACAATTTATTTGGAGATGCTGACAGGTTAGTTTTTGAGAAGAAAACTGCAGTATAAAAAACAACAAAAGGAACCAATTCATTTCCTTTTCTTTTTGAGACAAGGTCTTGCTCTGTTGCACAGGCTGGAGTGCAGTGGCACAATCACAGCTCACTGCAGCCTCAACCTCCTGGGTAAATGTGTATCTATGCAAGAATCAAATCCTTTATGTCAGTCCAGAATGCAGGAGCTAAAACAAGAAATGCTTATAAATTAAGGCTTTGGTGGCAGGATTTATGCAGCTGAGAAAGCACACCTTTTCTTTTGAAGGATGCATATGCTCTGTCCTCAAACAGGTCGAGAGAGGAAATTCAAGAATGGATACACATGAGGTTGAAACTTGACCGTATTTCATCCAAGCGGGAACCAGACCTCTAAGTTTGCAGGGCTCTTGCTTATACGGGGAAATGTGCCATAATTCCTGTCATTTTACTTGGGCCTTTTAAAATCGGCAAATTCTCATCTTCCCCTAGCCGAGGGTAAAAAAGAAAAACGGTAAAGGCGTTTTGTGCGTAGGTGGCCCCGGTGTTCTCGTCGCATACAGACTTCTGCACAACAAAATCCTAAACACGTCCACCGGGAACGGAATCCACTTTTCCCGCCTCGGGAAGGATTTCTGCGCTCTTGGGTGAAGTTCCTGAAGCAAGGAGACCGGTTCTCCCGGGAGCCTTCTGCCCGCTCCCCCATCCCGTGCTCCTGGGAGGAACTCTCGGGTCATCGGAAGCACGAGCGCCAGCCAGGGCGACCCCATTCGCTGACCCAGCCCAGAGCTCTGCGAAGCGGGAACGACCGGACGCCGAGCTCCCAGGGCCGAGGCCACGGCGAGGGGCGCCACTCCGGCCTCCCGGCTTTGCGGAGGGGCGGCCCCGGGACACCCGAGGGGGAAGCCTGAGCCCCGCGAGGCCATGAACGCGCAACACAGCTCCGGGCCGGAATCACGATCCACCGTCGCCGCGCTGGCGCTGGGAAGGGCGGCGGTGACGGACCGGGGGCCGGAAGTGACGGACCTGGGGCCGGAAGTGACGGACCGGGGAGAACCGCTGCTTCCGGCGCGGTAGCTGCTGCCGACTTCTCAGCGCCATGGCTGCGTTCAGCCGTCAGGTGAGGTTGCTCTGGGTGCGGGGGCTTCTCGGGGTCGCCGGCGGGCCGACAGGCAGCGACGCAGAAGATCCGCGGCCGCCGTGTGTTTCGTGCAGCCCTTCCGGGGCTCCGTGCACGCTGACCTGGTTTTGGCCTCCTGGACCCCTGGCTCTGCTCAATTATTGTGGGATATAAAGTAAAGTGGATTTTCTTCTTTGGAGACAGTTCTCGCTCTGTTGCCAGCGCCAGGCTGGAGGGCAGTGGCGCGAGCTCGGCTCACGGCAGCCTCCGTTTCCCGGGTTCAAGCTATTTCCCTGCTTCAGCCTCCCGAGTAACTGGGATTCCAGGCGCCCGCCGCCACGCCCGGCTAATTTTGTGTTTTTAGGAGAGACGGGGTTTCACCGTGTTGGCCAGGCTGCGCTCCAACTCCTGACCTCGTGTGATCTGTCCGCCTCGGCCTCTCAAAGTGCTGGGATTACAGGCGTGAGCCACCGCGCCCGGCCTGAGTTGACTCTTGAACAAGAGTTTGATTTTCACAAGGAAGAGAACATGTATTTACTGTTCATTCAGAGGAAGCGGAATTCGCATCAAGATCTTTAGGCTTGAGCACGGCGACTGCCCGGTGTTCCTGGCGGAGGGAGCAGCTGAACAGGGAGGCTGGAGAGCAGCCGGGGCTTGGACTTGGCAGGCTGGCCCTGGGACGACAGTCGGGGACGCTGGATGAGGGGTTGCTACCGATGTGAAGGTTTAGAGCAGGGTTTCCCAACCCCCGGTACCGGTGCGTGGCCTGTTAGGAGCCAGGCTGCTCAGCAGGTGAGCTGTGGGTGAGCCAGCCAAACTCCCTCTCTACTTACAGCCGCTGCCCTCTCTGGCCAAGCCGCCTGAGCTCCGCCTCCTGTCAGACGTTAAGATTCTCACTGCGGTGCAAACCCTATTGTGAACTGCGCCTTTGAGGGCTCTAGGTTGCGCACTCCTAATGAGAATCTAATGCCCGATGATCTGTCACCCATCACCCCCAGATGGGACCTTCTAGTTGCAGGAAAACAAGCTCAGGGCTCCCAGTGATTCTACATTATGGTGAGTTGTGTAATTATTTCATTATATATTAGAATGTGAAAATAATGGAAATAAAGTACACAACAAATGTAATGTGCTTGAATTATCCCGAAACCCCTCACCAGTCTGTGGAAAATTGTCTTCAATGAAACCAGTCTCTGGTGCCGAAAAGTTTGAAGACTGCTGGCTTAGAGTGCTCGGACGATTTGTGCAGTTTGTTAAGCACCAGCCTGAACCACTGAGGATTTCTGAGGTCAACTGGAATTGCGTATGCAAGTTGATTAAATTACTGTGACCCTTCAACAACACAAGGCTTAGGGGCACCAGACTGCCCCCACACCAGTTAAAAATCCATGTATAACGCTGACTCCCCTAAAACTCACCTACTTAGAGCCTACTTGTGACTGGAAGTCTTACCGACAAGATAAACAGTTAACACATATCTTGTATATATATTGCATTCTGTAAGTTAGAGAAAAGAAAATGTCATTAAGAAAATCATAAGGGTAAAACTCCATCTCTACAAAAAATACAAAAATCAGCAGGGTGTAGTGCTGTGTGCCTGTAGTCCCAGCTACTCAGCCTGGGGAGGTCAAGGCTGCAGTGAGCCATGATTGCACCACTGCACTCCAGCCTGGGCAACGGAGTGAGACCCCCCCCCAACTCAAAAAGCAAAAGAAAAAGAACATCCTAAGAGAAAATGCATGTATTATTCATTTGGAGGAAGCAGATTCTCGTAAGGTCTTTAGACGGAAGAGGAGGTGGAGGAGACGTTGGTCTTGGTGTCTCAGGGGTGGCAGAGGTGTAAGAAAATCCACGTGTCAGTGGGTCTGAGCAGTTGAAACCCTCGCTTCAGCCTCCCGAGTAACTGGAATAAGGGCCAACCCTATCCCACAAGATTTTTCTTGTGGAATGAATTTAAGATTGTGAATCTGGAAAGTAGTCTGAGGTGAGACTTTTCTGGCAAACTTGACCAGTTTTTCTCTCTTCCTCCATGTCTCCGCTCCCGTCCTTAAAACTGCACAAGCTAACAATATTGCACCTGCTTGGCTCCCATCTCTACGCCCTTGAAATACCCTGTTCTCTATATGCGAGCTTCCTTCTCTGTAGGCTTAAGTTCAGATATGATTTTGCAAATTGCTTATAAAAACGGTTATGTTTGTGTGGAATCAAGGTAGTAAATACTCTGGCTCAAAATCTTGTGGTGTCCATTGCACCGGAATAGTGAGGAATTAATTGTCTTTTGCGCTGTGTCTTACAGGTCCTTGACTGGCACCGCCTGATCCCCCTCACCTGGGCCTGTATCACTAGGCAGGTTCCTCATCTTGGAGAACAGAGAAGGACGACAGCTTCCTTGTTGCGCAAACTGACTACAGCCTCCAATGGAGGGTTCATTAAGGAGTCATCCTGTGTTAGATCCAGTAACTCTGTGCAGGAGCCAGAATGCAGGAAGAATCCTGTTCAGTGCCTCCTTAAGGAGCAGAGGACTCCTGTGGAACAGGGGTCCATGCTGCTGGAGAGAGTCATCGGTTCACTCCAGGACATGGGTTTCAGCAATGCCCATATTAATGAATTGCTCAGTGTACAGCCAGGTGCCAATCCTCAACAGTTGCTGGACACCATTTCAGAACTTATTCTCTTGGGTCTGAATCCAGAGCCTGTGTTTGTGGCCTTGAAGAAAAGTCCCCAGTTATTGAAACTGCCTATTAAGCAAATGAGGAAGCGCTCTAGTTACCTGCGAAAGCTTGGGCTTGGAGAAGGTACAAGAAGATGCAGATTTTGGCCGGGTGCAGTGGCTCATGCCTGTAATTCCACATCTTTGGGAGGCCGAGGCAGGCAAATCACTTGAGGTCAGGGGTTCAAGATCAGCCTGGCTAACATGGTGAAACCCTGTCTCTTACTAAAAGTACAAAAATTAGCTGGGTGTGGTGGCACGTGCCTGTAATTCCAGCCACTTGGGAGGCTGAGGCAGGAGAATCGCTTGAACCCAGGAGGTGGAGATTGCAGTGAGCTAAGATGGCGCCACTGCACTCCAGCCTGGGTGACAAGAGAGACTGTCTTAAAAAAAAAAAAGCAGATTTTATATAGTGTGAGAGAAGCCAGAGCTGGGGAGAGAAGAGCCTTGGCGAGATGGATTAGGGGGATTTCTGAGGGTGTCAGTGTTCCTGGAAAGGAATGTGTAATTCAGCTTGGAGGAACAGGAGTGGCCTTCTGTGCAGAAGGCATTTCAAGAGGGAAGAAGGAAGAGTTAAGACTAGAAGAAAAAAATGGAGTGCCAGGACAGAGACTCGTGTCTGCCTTTTCCACCGTGGGCTCATTAGCACCTAGTGCAGTGACGGGCATACGGTATATGCTCAGTGGGTTGATGCTGATATGTGATGTTGATAAATGTGTGTACATAGAACATTTGATGTTTAAATCAACACGAAATGGTCTTGGTGCTTTGTCTCTGTGATATCAAACCAGCATCTCTTGTAAAGACTTAACTTCCAGCTGAGTGTTTTGATTTACTGTGGATTACGAGAGATCTTGCCAGGTTCCTGGGAAACTGGTGGAGTGGCCTTCCCTTCTGTCTATCCCCCACTCCTGCCCCTAGCATATTGACATCTCAGGGAGGCTCAAAGTTCCCTGGATCTCTTTAGAGGCCTTCTGGAGGAGCTGGGAGCTCATGAGGGTCTCAAGGACCCTTACCACTTTGACCAGAGGAGTTCCACTGTTCTTTATTTTTATTTTTGACTCTTCCTGGTAAGGTTTCTTTTGAGGCAGGGGTGGAAGGTGTAGGATCCACCATTTCACAGCATCTCTATAGGACTCCTTCTCTAGAAGATAAGGAAAAGGCAGCCTTGTATATTTTTCTTAACAGATTATCTCTTATAGTATAATCTAAAAGTCTAAACTTGATGCATTATGTGCAGTCATTATTAATTAGCAAACTCAGCACAGCCTGAGGAGATGAAGATAAAACCTAAACTCCTGAAATTCCTCACACATTAAGATAATCACTAACTCAATGTTAGGAAACTGTTAACAGTTTAGTTGACTTTAAGTTTCCAAGTACTGAATTTTGCTCAGCTATCCCTAGGAAGGCCTGGAATAGTCCCAGTTTACACCAGATAATGCAGTTTTAATAGGGCCTGATTCACTCAGAGTGCCCTGGCTTGGAGAAGATACATAGTAACCCTGGTAGCCAGGATGTCAGTGTTGGTGTGTGTTCTCAGGATTACTATTATTATTACTTTTATGATGACAGCGATGGGACGCCTGTTCATTGAGTTCAGCTGGAGAATGTTAGTTGTGAATGCTTCGGTGACTATTTTATTATAGAGGGAAGCACCAACTCAAAGCCCAAAATGGAGGAAACTACTCTCCATATTACTCTCTGATCTTTCCAGTAAATGCCTGGGAAATTCTTTTCCAAGTGAGGAGGGCAAGAGGAGACCCAAAATACAAAGTTGGCACCTTTCAGGTGGGAGGCCAGAATACAGCAGGAATGGAGGGGGGAAGGCTGGTGAGTCTGAGGAGTGTCAGGGAGTCAGTGGGGACATGTATCATTTCCATGGTGCTTCTGGGAAGACATGTCTGAAATTGCCACTTGCTCTGTGGAGGGAGAGGATCCTTGTTTGTTTTTAAATGTGGACTTAAATCGGGTACACCTAGCTCCTTGGTTTCTGGAGTATCCTGAAATGATGTGCTTGCCTTTTTTGAATGTTCTGCAGGGAAATTAAAGAGGGTGCTTTCCTGTTGCCCTGAAATTTTCACCATGCTTCAGCAGGACATTGATGGCACTGTCAGGCTTCTCAAGGAGAAGTGCCTTTTCACGGTACAGCAAGTCACCAGGATTTTGCACAGCTGCCCCTTTGTTCTTCGAGAGGACCTGGGCCAATTGGAATATAAGTTTCAGGTGAGAATGACTCACAGGGTGATTACAGTGGTAATAGCAAGTTTTTCAGGTTTTTCAAATGTAGTAAGGGTCAGTTATATGGATAAGAAGCCTCAGACACCTCATATTTGAGTGGAGGAAGTGAAAGACTAGATTGTCTTTGCATACAGCAGCCAGAGAATTCGGTTCTGGTTCTTTAATATCTTTACTACAGATCAAACCTATTCTTCAACTTCTCCGCCATTAATAACGAATGATCCAGTCGTATTCTTAGAGTGGGGATTCTGAAATAGCTCATTTTAAAATAGCTGAAGCCTTCCTGTCCTCAGACTCTGTTTTGCATGTTGATTTTGAAAATGTAATTTTACCAGTTGTCCTGAGTTTTTAGTAATAATTATGGCAACTTAGGTCAAATTTCTAGATGTTTTCTGAATGTTTTGCCTATCCTTTCCATATTCATAGTTTTCCTTCCCTGTTTAAGAAGAAATAGAACTTCTCCCTCCTGCCCCTTTATTTTCTGCTACATGTTTCTCAATATGAATTTGAAACTGCCGGCTGTCATACAAACGTCAGTATTCTAGAGTGGGTATTCTGCAGTTGTCAATTAGACAATTCTTTTTGAATCCTTTGTACAACTTAAGTTTGTATGGTCTGTGGAATGACGGGTTTTAAGCCTCTGTATCTGGGACTCCTAAGTGTGTCTGTGTCTTCCAGTATGCGTATTTCAGGATGGGAATTTCGCATCCCGACATTGTAAAGAGCGAGTACCTGCAGTATCCACTAAACAAGATTAAGCAGAGGCACATTTACTTGGAGCGCCTGGGACGGTACCAAACCCCTGATAAGAAGGGGCAGACGCAGATCCTTAACCCGTTGGTCAAGAACATTCTCCGAGTTTCAGAAGCCGAGTTTTTGGCAAGGACAGCCTGTACTTCTGTTGAGGAATTTGAGGTTTTTAAGAAGCTCCTGGCTCGGGAGGAGGAGGAGTCTGAGAGCGGCACATCTGATGGCAAAAGGGCAAGTCTGGATGAGGAGGAGGGCGACGGGGAGGAGGAGGACGAGGAAGAGGAGGATGACGATGATGAAGATGATGATGAGGAGCAGCTGTGATGGGAGGACTAAAGCAAAGGGCCCAGAGATACCAAGGAAGCTTTCCGTTCTCTTAGAGCTTTTGGGTCCTTTACTTGAATCTTCTCAAGTTATTTTTTACTCTAAAACTAGACTTTGATGAAAAAAATTATAAATCACCTGAGAGATCGATCAAACCAAACAGGAAACAGGAAATGCAAGTTTGACCTGTTGTCCGGTGTCTGGGGAGGGCCCTGTCCCATCCTAAATAACATACTTACTTTGAGCTATTCAAAGCAAGGGGACTCATCAACATTCTGTTTCATTGCTTTCTCTTTTGACTATGTTGGTGATAGTTCCATGACAGTTGGAAGATAGGGTTCCTTCTGCTGGTTCAGCAGTCACTTTATATTTCCTTCTAGTGATACAAATAAAATTATGAGAAGGCAGTGTGAGGTTTTAGTACATCATAGCACTTTATTTTATGAAAACATGTAGCAGGATTTCCACAAAAATATTTGTTTTTAATCCAAAAGTATATTGTTTCATAATGGCATTCAGCGTGCAGCAGAGTGAAAGGAAGTTGATCTGTGATGTGCTTGTTAATTTGCCCAGCGCCTCAAGGCCAGCAAAACACTGCGGCAGTTTTATCTTTGTGAATAAAAAAAAGGCCCTTCCCGTCCGGGGAAGCTGGCTTTTATGCCAGCCCTTGGCCAGTGGTCGGTCACCTCTGGGCCTGATGTCTCCGGCCCTGTAGTCTGCATTGCCACTGTGCTGGCCTGGAGAGTGCTGAGGCAGGTGGAGGCTGGGGAATGCTCCTGTACAGTCGCCTCCCCTGCCCGGGTTACAGATGGGCTTTGAGAACCAGAGAAAGGCAGGTGGGCTGAAGCCAGGGCCACAGGGAGCTCTCCATGACCCCTAAGGTGGGGGCTGTCACCTTAGGGAACTGAGAGTAAAGAACAGTCTGAAATGCTGGGAACAGAGAAGAGGAATTTGATCTAAGCCAGGGGTGGTCCCTGAGGTAGAGGCCTGTCTTTGATGGCATGAGGTCTAAGAGGGTCCTGGAGGACTGGTACACCCTAGAACATTCCAGGTAGCCCTTAGGAGAAACTGACAGGATTGTTGCAGAAAGCATTTTTGGTGATGGGAGCAAAATTCCAGTCTCCTTGGTAGCATTCTAGGATCTATTAGATTCTAGGATTCCAGTGGGTTAGATTCTAGGATCCAGGGATGCTGTAAAACACTACAGTGCTCAGGATGGCCCCACAAGAGAGAATGATCCAGCCCAAAAGGTCAGTGCTGAGCCTGAGAAACTCATCTAAGGCCTGGTCTAATAAAGTAATGTGACCGTTCACTCATGACAACTTCAGATTGTAAATGGACTTAGAATAGTTGTATTATTTTATTTAAAAGAGAAATAAATAGCTGGGTTTTCAGCAGGGCTCCTTTCCCCTATGCACGGGAATACCCTTGGTAGATGTGAGCTGCATGCTAGTGTGGGGATTCAGCACTGAAGTCTGGGTGCTTTTGTTTTCTCCAGCAGCCTCCTCTTGGAGCGTGACTGCAAAGAAAAAGACTTTTGTTTTGCAAAAGAGAAGCAGCTCAGTGATTCCCTCCACATTGCCAGGGTTGAGTCAGATGCAGTGGCAGTTGACTGCCAGTGGAAGGAGTTCCTGCTGAGGGGAGGTGCAGGTGAGCTGGCACTTCACTGGGGCCCTTGCCTGCTAGGTTCTCCACTGGAGGACAGTGGGCACAGCAGAGAGCCCCTTACCTGTACCTGGCAGCTCACATGCCGTGGGCAAAAGGGGGAGTTTGTCTTGCCTTGCTGGCCATAGGCAGAACTGGAAATGAAGACATTTCACTGTGCCAGTGTTTTCGTTTTCTCTTCGGTTATGGCTTCCCAATGACTGCCACTTGTCCCGGAACCTGGGCTGTTGTTCTCGTGCCCAACGGGAGGACTAAGAATCCTCAATCCGCACTCGCTTAGATGATCAGTACATCCCAGTTTCATTAGCAAATGGGTAATTCAGCAACTCACGACTGCTGCTTTCATTTTGATACAAAAATAAACCTTTATGCTCCTGACAACTTTCTGATTCTACTCTTACTAATTTCCTTGGGTGGACTTTTGAGTATTTTCAAGGACGCCGTTAGAGTTTTTAAAAGAAGCCATGTGAGAAAAGCTGTGGTGGCCTCTTTGGAATGTTTCAGGAATCAACTCATTCCTGAGCACCAGGAAGTCTTCTCACTAGATAGTTAATGTGTAAAGCCTCCCCGTGGACGAGTCCTGTCAGCACAGCACCAAGCCTGGGACTCAGGAGCCAGTTCTCGTTGACACAGAGACTTCCAAGCTGACACTTGGAGCATATTAGCATTTGCTGTGTGGCTGAGGGGCTTGAGGTCCTAGTAGGGAGTAGAAAGATTCGCCTACATTTCCAGTGATAGCACTCGATCTTACATCTGCTAGGAATGCTGGAGCTTACATGGATGAACAGTGACGGGTCCCAGGCTGCAGGAAGTCAGCAGTACGTGTTTGTGTACGTGGTTTTCTCTCAGTTCACCCAGTGACCCTTCACTGAGCTGGAGACCCTGCATTGAGCTCTGCCTTCTGTTCTCAAGTGGGTCTGGAGACTGGGGAACATTTTGGGAGTACAGGTGAAACTTCTCGAATTGCCTGTTCCTTCTCTCTGAAAATGACAGACTGCAGAATACACAGACAGATGCACATGAAATTTTAATAAAGATAAAAAGCCTAAAATATACTCTAACTCTTAAAAAAACATGTTTATAAAAGACAAAAGGAAGGAGGCCCTCTTTGTGGCTGGAATGCTGGCTCTGAGCAGAGTCAGGGAGATGCGGCAGGGTGCTTGCTTTCCAGCTAGGTCAGCTCTCATGAGGCTCAACACGCGAGGAGGTGGCACTGGCCTCTTTGGTTGTAACGGACAGCTGCCTAGAAGCAGGGTGGGAAGCAGATGTGAGGTGATGCACTGTCCTGCTTGTGAAGATGGCGTGTCTAAGATCATGCTGACCGCCTGATAGCCTGACACAGCGTTTCTTGAGTCATGGACTGAAAGGAACTTGAACATTGTGCAGCCAGCCCAGGCGTCCATCCCTGTTGCGCTGAGACTTGTGAGGAGTCCTTGCTGCTGTGTGGCTGTGTGCCTCAGCTTTCCAAGCAGGGGGCTCGATAGCTTTTTTCCATGAAAACTCAGGGGTCTTTGATGCCTTTGTGACTTGTTATTCAGGAGATGGCTTCCACTGTTTAAGGCTGAAGCCGAGATGATCTCATAGAACAGGGTTCACCAAATATGGCCCATGGGCCAACCTGGCCACTGCCCGTTATTGTAAGTAGGCTTTTATTGGAACCCAGTCATTCAATTACATGCCTGTGGCTGTGTCTGTGCTACTGTAGCCACAGGGACCTTTGGTCTGCAAAGCTGAAAATATTTACTGTCTGACCCTTTACAGAGAAAGGCTGCCAGCTCCACTGTAGATGAAAAGTGTCTGAACTCCTTATGTTAACATTTCCTCTACTAGTCCATACAATGGCTCCTCACCCTGCAGGAGCGTCAGAAACACGCCGAAGGAGCAGAGCAGGGTGGCTATGTCTGCACCTCAGCTTTCCGTCCAGCACCGCCTGGTCTCTGCTTTTTGGCCCCTGCCCTGTCTGTTTTGGAAGCAGTCCAACATGATTCCTTCTCAATTTGTTAGGCCTCAAAGGCAGAATTCTTTCTCTGGCTTTGGAGTCAAAGAACAGGTTTCTGAGTACTGCAGAGTGTGGTCTACAGCCTTGCTGATCCGGGGTAATGGTGGCTGTCATCTCATCTGCAGAGGCATGGACCACACCTTCAGGAACTGCAGCCTGGGTGACAGCACAGGCTGCTGAAATGCTTCGCAGGACTCATAGGTGGCTGGTGCCAGAGCCGGGTCTCAGGGCGGGCTGGTGCGTGCACAGTCCTGGCCATGTGTCTTCTAGAGGCCTGAGGAGAACGGTCACAGAGGGGACTGACTCCAGCTAGGACCTTTTCTCTCAGGGTGTCCTTTTTCATCCAGTTTTGAGACCTCATCTTCCTGGGTTTTAGAAACTTTTGAGGTTGGTGGAGTGTAACAAGAACGTCTTAAATCCTTTGAAGAAAAAAGAAAGTGAAGCATGAGAATGGCAGGCATTCCCACTCCTCGTGAAACCAGCTGCTTCCCTTTTCTCTTAGTGGTACTTATGTTCTTATGGCACCAGGGTCTAACAAGGCAGTGCACGGCGGGGGCAGTTCCCATCTTTAGCAACACGTGGGCTCAGCATTACAACTTTTAAATGTGAAATCAACAGGCTATTCCTCTTCCCTGCCTTCCTCCTTCCGGTAACGACTGTGGGTCTGTTCTCTAAGGGTATGGCTGTGTTAGGTTGCTCTGTGTTGAAATAAATTCTCGTGTTGTTCTTGGGTAGGTGTCTGGGTGAGTGTATTTCTGTTTCCTGCTTGTGTGTTTACTTCATTGTTTCAAGACCAGGTGTTCTATAAGCCAGTTTGATAATTAGTTGGGGGGCTTCGGATTTGTTTTTATAGAAGTGGATGTGCTAGGAAAAGTTAAAATGATATATTGGCTGGGTGTGGTGGCTCATGCCTGTAATGCCAGCCCTTTGAGAGGCCAAGGTGGGTGGATCACCTGAGGTCAGGAGTTTGAGACCAGCCTGCCCAACATGGTGAAACCCCATCTCTATTAAAAAATAAGTAAAATGATACATTAATATTTCAGGTGACTTACCACAATATAAATATCTCAAACCCAAATTATGTTGGATTTGTAATCCTAGCACAGTCAGGCACTGCATGATGAAGGACCGTGGGCATGACAGTTGTCTCATGAAATTACAGTGAAGCTGAGCTCAGCCATGACTTTTTCTTTTTTTGAGACAGAGTCTCTCTCAGTTGCCCAGGCTGTAGCATAGTGGTGCGATCTCAGCTCACTGCAACCTCTGCCTTCTGGGTTCAAACGATTCTCCTGCGTCAGCCTCTTGAGTAGCTGGGACTACAGGCGCTTGCCACCACAACGGGCTAATTTTTGTATTTTTAGTAGAGACAGGGTTTTGCTATGTTGGCCACGCTGGTCTCCAACTCCTGACCTCAAGTGATCTGCTGGCCGCGGCCTCCCGAAGTGCCAGGAGAATTCCGTGTGTTTGTGGTGATGCTGCTGTATACAGACCTACTGCACCGCCCGGTGAATAAAAGTCTAGCGCATACGATCATGCACAGTGTATACCACTTGACCGTGATCACGTGACACCACTGCTTTGTGTGTTGCCCGTACTCTTCATTATTTAGAGTGTACTCCTTCCAGTAGAAAACAAAGTCAGCTGTAAAACGGCCTCAGGCAGGTCTTTCAGGAGGTGTCCAGCGGCTTCATGTGTGCTACTGGGACAAGATGTGGAGGTGGAAGAGAGTGAAATGAATGATCCTGGTCCTGTGTAGACCTAGGCTAATGTGTGTGTGTGTCTGTTTTTAACAAGTTAAAAAAGTAAAAAAAAAAACAGTTTTAAAAACAGAAAAAAGCACTGCGAATAAGGAGAGAAAGAGCCGGGACTGCTGGCTCACGCCTGTAATCCCAGTACTTTGTGAGGCTGAAGTGGGTGTATCACGAGGTCAGGATATCGAGACCATCCTAACTCTAAAAACCCCAACTCTACTAAAAATACAAAAAATTCGCCAGGCGTAGTGATACGTGCTTGTAGACCCAGCTACTTGGAGGCCGAGGCAGGAGAACTGCTTGAACCCAGGAGGTGGAGGTTGCAGTGAGCCGAGATTGCACCACTGCACTCCAGCCTGGGTGACAAGAGCAAGACTGAGTCTCAAAAAAAAAGGATGGAAAGAAAACAATTTTGAACATCTGTACAGTTGTTATTTTAAGTGGTTATTACAAAGAGTTATAATAAGCAAAAAATTAAAAATGTATAAAGTAAAAAAGTTACAGTAAGCTAAGGTTAACTGATTGTTGAAGGACTAATGTCTTACTGTGCAACTTCCAGCCCTGCCCACTCGTTATGTGAAGTGCCCTGCACAGGTGTACCCTTTTTATCTTTTATACCATATCCCTCCTGTAGCTTTTCTGTTTAGATGTGTTTTGGATACACACAGCGCTGTTACAACTGCCCGCAGTATTCAGTAACACGCTGTGCTGTGCAGCCCAGGAGCACAGGCGCTGCCAAATGGCCTAGTGTGCAGGACGCGGTGCCATCTCAGCGTGTTCTCAGTATGTGCTCATCGCCTCACAAAGCATTTCTCAGAATGCATCTCCATTGCTAAGCAACACTGGACTGCGGTAAATTACCCACAAGCCTGGAGTGTGTTTAGTGCGTGTCTCTGGAGCGTGAGGTGGGAGGGGAAGCAGATCTGCCAGCTGCTCTCTTCTGGAGACTTTCCACATCTGAAATGGCAGGCGCATGCAGTCTGTCACGGCCAACTCAGAGCTCAAGTTCCGGTCATTGGCAAAGCTCTGGCCCAGGCCCTTCCCCTCAGGTGCTGTGGACGCTCTTCCTTTGGTGTGAGCCTATACCTGAAAGCTCTTTTGCTTCTGTTTGTCTTTATTTTTTTTAGAATATAACAAAACATAGACCTGTTCGAAGTGCCTTGTTACCCAAGGGTGCCTCACTCTCATCTGTACCACCAGGAAGATGAACTGTGAAGGCTCATTTAAGGGGCAGGAGTAGTAAAGCTGTCCTAGCCCAGCCAGAAATTCATCCTTGATGCTCAGTGACATGTTGACAAGAAATTATAGTCAGTAGGAAACTGATTACAGGTTGTAGATGGGTTTTATGGTACATCCCAGTCTTTTGCAAACTATTGTGAAGAATCCCAGTGCTCTTTAAGATTCAGCAGTAGGGCGGTGGGGGCAGGATGTGGGTCTGGTTGCCAAGAGTTTGAAAATGCTAGCTTAAACAAATAGAAAGCTTTTTCATTTCAGGATTTATGAATGTCTGAGTCCACTGTCCATTATGAGTCTCCTAGTGAGAGACAGTCTTTGACACTTTCTAGTATTAAGTGATCAAGGCCCTGCCGTATGTTTAGTTCTGATAGAAGGCCATTCACAAGCTCTGGGCAGCACTCCCTTAGATCTCTCCTGGAACCTCCGAACTCCTCAGCAGCCCAGGCCCTCCCACTGCCTACACCCCTCCTCCCAGGTGCCAGGTGGTCTTCCAGCCTCTCTAAGTGCCCACCCTCCTGCCTCTTCCTCCCACTGCAGCTGATCTAGTGGGGTTTGCCCCTACCCACAGAGAGCTGCATTTCCACCTGAAGATGTATTTGTCAGTGGCTAGACCAGGTTCACGTCTGTTTCCCCTTGGGGAATTCTGAAACCTTCCTGGCCCAGGAGTCTGTAACACAGCAGCACATGGCTGAGCTTCCTGTAGCAGCACTTACTAAGTAGGCAGCAGTACTCTGAGAGCCCAGGGTGCTTAGTAAGTAGGCAGCAGCACCCCGAGAGCCCAGGGTGCTTACTAAGTGGGCAGCGGCACCCCGAGAGCCCAGGGTGTTTACTAAGTAGGCAGCGGCACCCCGAGAGCCCAGGGTGCTTACTAAGTAGGCAGCGGCACCCCGAGAGCCCAGGGTGCTTACTAAGTAGGCAGCATCACCCCGAGAGCCCAGGGTGCTTAGTAAGTAGGCAGCGGCACCCCGAGAGCCCAGGGTGCTTAGTAAGTAGGCAGCGGCACCCCGAGAGACCAGGGTGCTTACTAAGTAGGCAGCATCACCCCGAGAGCCCAGGGTGCTTAGTAAGTAGGCAGCGGCACCCCGAGAGCCCAGGGCTGGGCAGACACCCCCACTTCCCAGCAGCTCTGTGGTAGTGGTGCAGGAGCAGCAGGGGCGTACCTTAAGATTTCTCCAGTGTCTGACTCTTACTTTGTTTCCTGAAATAGAGAAAAGTCGTTTAATGACAGAGACTGTGTACCTTGAATCCTCCAGCTACCTCAGCCCAGGATGCCTGCTGAAATCCTGCCTTTAGCTCATGTACGTTTCAGGGTGAGGGACACCATTAGTCCAGACACTGATGTGGAGATTGGCATTTCAGTTTGCGTACCCACCTGGCTTGAGACAGTAGCTTTGGAATGAGAAGGCTAGAAACCTAACTGGATGTGAGTCAGAAAGAGAAGGAAAGACGTGGGAGAAAGCAAGCAAAAGCTACCCTAGGGAAGAGCTGGGTGACACGTGCAGGCCGGGCAGCACAGCTGGTGAGCTGCAGGCTTCGGCCTTGTCCTGACACTGGTAGTGCAAAACACGTGTGTGTGGCTACTGTGGGTCTGTGCGGATGATGACAGGTTTCAACTCTGATTCTGAAAGATACAATGTTCTCAGGCACTTCTTTCAGTAAACCCCAGACAGGAGTAATTAACTACCTTGAACCCTTTGGGGAGAAGAACCTGGATGGGTGTGAGTGAATTAAAAGTAAACAGCGATGCACTATATTGGCCATTAAATACTCGGGCTGTCAATAACACGCTGTGCTTCCCAACTGTAGCACCACGTTCTGTGTGAATATGTATCACCAGGTGCCCACCCAGTACCCAGCATGTGGCCTCCCCTGAGCACCCAGCATGCGTGGCTGTGCCCCTCTGTACTCTCACATGCACATATATGGACATAAGTTTCATAGCAGAACATGGCTTCCCAAGGGCTGCCTATCTGGGAAGTAGCCCGCTTGGCTCAGCCCGCAGGCCTGCAGCAGCCACAGCACCTGCCACCCCTGCCCATCACCCTGTGAGCCACATGCAGGGCACAGCATGGCCTGCTTCCCAGAGGCACCTGTTTGGGGCTTTCTTGCTGCTCGTGCTTTCACAGCTCTCTTTGAAGCAGATGTCTTGGTGAACTCTGTAGACTCTTTTATACCTGTTGTCACAAGAAAGCTTTGTAAAACCAGACAGTGAAGCAAAATGCCCCCCAACTGCTTAACCCAGGCTTTGTGAACCCACAGGTAGACAGGAAGCTGTTGGAGGGAAAAGCTGTGATTTTAATGAAACGTTACCTCCCACTGATGTATTAAAATGTCTAACATAAAGATCATGTGATTTGTAACAGATGTACTGAGGCACGGTAGTATACATAAAATAAACGCATGTTAATGTGCATGCTGATGAGCACTGACAAAGCACGTGGCACTAAAAGACAAAATGTGAAATTTCTAAAACACGTCCATGCTAGAGGCAGGCCACTTGGCCTGAGGCCTTGGGAAGGTATGACCTCACTTTGCTGTTTTTCTAGGTATTTCACAGAGAAGTTTGAGAAGTGTTAGGGATTCAGGATTCAGGTGTAGGCATTACAGAACATGAGACCTGATTTCATGTCCTGCCTCTTCCATTTATTAATCAGGCTACTTTGAGCAAGTTTCTTGAAGTTTGAAGCCTCAGTTGCACATAAGATGGGACTTACTCAGACCATCTCTCTACAGGTTTGTAGATAATAATGGATGGAAAAGTATTCTGTCTTTGGTTAAAGTTCTCAAATGGCAGAGCTACCCAAGGAGTTCAGTGAGCAAAGCTCCAACTCATATGTGAAGTCTCACAGAACCTTTGGAATTTAAAACCGGTGGCAAGACTTCCATTTCTGGACAAGAAAGAGTAACAGAATTGGGAATTAACCTCCCAATGTGAACAAGTAGAGAAGTGGACAAAATACGTAAGTAACTATATGTCAAATGTTAGAGAACAGACAATGTAAAGTGTCATCCCTGAGAAATATAGTAACTGTGTGTCAGATGTTAGAGAACAGACAACGTGAGACTGTCATCCCTGAGAAATACAGTAAGTAACTGTGTGTCAGATGTTAGAGAACAGACGTGAGACTGTCATCCCTGAGAAATACAGTAACTGTGTGTCAGATGTTAGAGAACAGACAATGTGAGACTGTCATCCCTGAGAAATACAGTAACTGTGAGTCAGATGTTAGAGAACAGACAACGTGAGACTGTCATCCCTGAGAAATACAGTAACTGTGTGTCAGATGTTAGAGAACAGACAACGTGAGACTGTCATCCCTGAGAAATACAGTAACTGTGTGTCAGATGTTAGAGAACAGACAACGTGAGACTGTCATCCCTGAGAAATACAGTAACTGTGTGTCAGATGTCAGAGAACAGACGACGTACGACTGTCATCCCTGAGAAATACAGTAACTGTGTGTCAGGTGTTAGAGAACAGACAACGTGAGACTGTCATCCCTGAGAAATACAGTAACTGTGTGTCAGGTGTTAGAGAACAGACAACGTGAGACTGTCATCCCTGAGAAATACAGTAACTGTGTGTCAGATGTTAGAGAACAGACAATGTGAGACTGTCATCCCTGAGAAATACAGTAACTGTGTGTCAGATGTTAGAGAACAGACAACGTGAGACTGTCATCCCTGAGAAATACAGTAACTGTGTGTCAGATGTTACAGAACAGACAACGTGAGACTGTCATCCCTGAGAAATACAGTAACTGTGTGTCAGATGTTAGAGAACAGACAACGTGAGACTGTCATCCCTGAGAAATACAGTAACTGTGTGTCAGATGTTAGAGAACAGACAACGTGAGACTGTCATCCCTGAGAAATACAGTAACTGTGTGTCAGGTGTTAGAGAACAGACAACGTGAGACTGTCATCCCTGAGAAATACAGTAACTGTGTGTCAGATGTTAGAGAACAGACAACGTGAGACTGTCATCCCTGAGAAATACAGTAACTGTGTGTCAGGTGTTACAGAACAGACAACGTGAGACTGTCATCCCTGAGAAATACAGTAACTGTGTGTCAGATGTTAGAGAACAGACAACGTGAGACTGTCATCCCTGAGAAATACAGTAACTGTGTGTCAGATGTTAGAGAACAGACGTGAGACTGTCATCCCTGAGAAATACAGTAACTGTGTGTCAGATGTTAGAGAACAGACAATGTGAGACTGTCATCCCTGAGAAATACAGTAAGTAACTGTGTGTCAGATGTTAGAGAACAGACAATGTGAGACTGTCATCCCTGAGAAATACAGTAACTGTGTGTCAGATGTTAGAGAACAGACAATGTGAGACTGTCATCCCTGAGAAATACAGTAACTGTGTGTCAGGTGTTAGAGAACAGACAACGTGAGACTGTCATCCCTGAGAAATATAGTAACTGTGTGTCAGATGTTAGAGAACAATGTGAGACTGTCATCCCTGAGAAATACAGTAAGTAACTGTGTGTCAGATGTTAGAGAACAGACAACGTACGACTGTCATCCCTGAGAAATACAGTAAGTAACTGTGTGTCAGATGTTAGAGAACAGACAATGTAAAGTGTCATCCCTGAGAAATACAGTAACTGTGTGTCAGATGTTAGAGAACAGACAATGTAAAGTGTCATCCCTGAGAAATACAGTAACTGTGTGTCAGATGTTAGAGAACAGACAACGTGAGACTGTCATCCCTGAGAAATACAGTAACTGTGTGTCAGATGTTAGAGAACAGACAATGTGAGACTGTCATCCCTGAGAAATACAGTAAGTAACTGTGTGTCAGGTGTTAGAGAACAGACAACGTGAGACTGTCATCCCTGAGAAATACAGTAAGTAACTGTGTGTCAGGTGTTAGAGAACAGACAACGTGAGACTGTCATCCCTGAGAAATACAGTAACTGTGTGTCAGATGTTAGAGAACAGACAATGTAAAGTGTCATCCCTGAGAAATATAGTAACTGTGTGTCAGATATTAGAGCACAGACAACGTGAGACTGTCATCCCTGAGAAATACAGTAACTGTGTGTCAGATGTTAGAGAACAGACAATGTGAGACTGTCATCCCTGAGAAATACAGTAACTGTGTGTCAGATGTTAGAGAACAGACAATGTAAAGTGTCATCCCTGAGAAATATAGTAACTGTGTGTCAGATATTAGAGCACAGACAACGTGAGACTGTCATCCCTGAGAAATACAGTAACTGTGTGTCAGATGTTAGAGAACAGACAATGTGAGACTGTCATCCCTGAGAAATACAGTAACTGTGTGTCAGGTGTTAGAGAACAGACAACGTGAGACTGTCATCCCTGAGAAATACAGTAACTGTGTGTCAGATGTTAGAGAACAGACAACGTGAGACTGTCATCCCTGAGAAATACAGTAACTGTGTGTCAGATGTTAGAGAACAGACAATGTGAGACTGTCATCCCTGAGAAATACAGTAACTGTGTGTCAGATGTTAGAGAACAGACAACGTGAGACTGTCATCCCTGAGAAATATAGTAACTGTGTGTCAGATGTTAGAGAACAGACAACGTGAGACTGTCATCCCTGAGAAATACAGTAACTGTGTGTCAGGTGTTAGAGAACAGACAACATGAGACTGTCATCCCTGAGAAATACAGTAACTGTGTGTCAGATGTTAGAGAACAGACAACGTGAGACTGTCATCCCTGAGAAATACAGTAACTGTGTGTCAGATGTTAGAGAACAGACAACGTGAGACTGTCATCCCTGAGAAATACAGTAACTGTGTGTCAGGTGTTAGAGAACAGACAACGTGAGACTGTCATCCCTGAGAAATACAGTAACTGTGTGTCAGATGTTAGAGAACAGACAATGTGAGACTGTCATCCCTGAGAAATACAGTAAGTAACTGTGTGTCAGATGTTAGAGAACAGACAATGTGAGACTGTCATCCCTGAGAAATACAGTAACTGTGTGTCAGATGTTAGAGAACAGACAATGTGAGACTGTCATCCCTGAGAAATACAGTAACTGTGTGTCAGGTGTTAGAGAACAGACAACGTGAGACTGTCATCCCTGAGAAATATAGTAACTGTGTGTCAGATGTTAGAGAACAGACAACGTGAGACTGTCATCCCTGAGAAATACAGTAACTGTGTGTCAGATGTTAGAGAACAGACAACGTGAGACTGTCATCCCTGAGAAATACAGTAACTGTGTGTCAGATGTTAGAGCACAGACAATGTGAGACTGTCATCCCTGAGAAATACAGTAACTGTGTGTCAGATGTTAGAGAACAGACAATGTGAGACTGTCATCCCTGAGAAATACAGTAAGTAACTGTGTGTCAGATGTTAGAGAACAGACAACGTACGACTGTCATCCCTGAGAAATACAGTAAGTAACTGTGTGTCAGATGTTAGAGAACAGACAATGTAAAGTGTCATCCCTGAGAAATACAGTAACTGTGTGTCAGATGTTAGAGAACAGACAACGTGAGACTGTCATCCCTGAGAAATACAGTAACTGTGTGTCAGATGTTAGAGAACAGACAATGTGAGACTGTCATCCCTGAGAAATACAGTAACTGTGTGTCAGGTGTTAGAGAACAGACAACGTGAGACTGTCATCCCTGAGAAATACAGTAAGTAACTGTGTGTCAGATGTTAGAGAACAGACAACGTGAGACTGTCATCCCTGAGAAATACAGTAAGTAACTGTGTGTCAGGTGTTAGAGAACAGACAACGTGAGACTGTCATCCCTGAGAAATACAGTAACTGTGTGTCAGATGTTAGAGAACAGACAATGTGAGACTGTCATCCCTGAGAAATACAGTAACTGTGTGTCAGATGTTAGAGAACAGACAATGTAAAGTGTCATCCCTGAGAAATATAGTAACTGTGTGTCACATGTTAGAGAACAGACAATGTGAGACTGTCATCCCTGAGAAATACAGTAACTGTGTGTCAGATGTTAGAGAACAGACAATGTGAGACTGTCATCCCTGAGAAATACAGTAACTGTGTGTCAGGTGTTAGAGAACAGACAACGTGAGACTGTCATCCCTGAGAAATACAGTAACTGTGTGTCAGATGTTAGAGAACAGACAACGTGAGACTGTCATCCCTGAGAAATACAGTAACTGTGTCAGATGTTAGAGAACAGACAATGTG